CCTTTCTTTTAAGAATAGTTTTGCTGGATATAGAATTCTAGGTTGACAGCTTTCCCCCAGCACTTTAAATATGTCATCCCATTGTCTTCTGGTCACCGTTGTCACTGATGGAAGTCAGTTATCATTCATGCTATTGTTCCTTTTAATATAATATGTGGTTTTTCTCTGGCTGCTTTCAAGATTTTCTTTTTCTTTTTTTAATTTTAGCAGTTTAAATATGACACATCTAAGTTAGTTTCCTTTGTATTTATCATTCTTGGGCTTTGTTGAAATTCTGGGATCTGTAAGTTGATGTCTTTCACCAAATTTAAGAGATATATCTTTTTCCTCTCCCATTCTCTCCTTTTCTTCTGGGACTTCAGTTACATATATGTTAGATTGCATATTCTGTTCATTTTTCTCCAATTTTTCCCCTCTCAGTTCTTCAGATTGGGTTCCACTGATCTCTCTTCAAGTTCACTAACTCTTCCTTCTGCCATTTCTAATCAGCTGTTAAGTGTAGTCGGTGAAATTTCCATTTTAGGTATTGCACTTTTCAGCTCCAGAATTTCTACTAATTTTTTTAATAATTTGTCCTCCCCCATTGGGATTCCTATATGTTCATTTATTGTGCATATAACTTCCTTTAAGTTCTTGGACATATTTTTAGTAGCTGCTTTATCTGTACCACCTGAATTATCATGGTTTGGTTATAATTGACTCCTCCCTTCTTTTTCTTGGGTATGGGTCGTAGCTATTTCTTCTCCTAGTTCATGGTCTTTATTGGGTCCTGGATATCATGAATGCTATGTTGTAGAATTTCTGGATTCTGTTGTGTTCCCTCTGCTAGTGTTTATCTTGGCTGGACTCAAACCCTGCCCCTCATGCAAATATATCTTTTTCAGCAGTAGCTGAAATCTCCTCTAAGTTTGTTCATCTTTGAGCTGCTGGTTTTTCTCCCAAACCCCTGGTGTCTTCCCCACACAAGTGTAGGTTAGTCAGTTGGCCAAAGATTTGGATAGACTCTAGGCAGATTTGGGGGCTTTCCCCCTCTGTGGCTCTCTCTCTTCCAGGACTTCCCCCTAATATTCTGAACTGTCTCCTCTCACACTTCAAGACAACCAGATTGCTGCTTTCTGCCACCTAAGCATTCGTGGACTGGGGCATGCCCCTGGCAAAAATTCAGAATCACTGGTCTGACTGTGACAGAGGTCTTTCAAGGGTGGACTCCTGGGCAATGTCTGCCTGCTTTGATCACCCCCCAATGTCTTTAAATAGGTGTGTGTGTGTGTGTGTGTAAGGGTTGTGTGTTTTAATATTTTGTCAAGATTTATGAACTGTTATCTGCAGGAGGGTTGGTCCAGCCAGTCTGCTCCACTATTACTGAAAGCCAGTGCTGTTGCATACCTCTTAATAAACAATTTTTTAAAAAACCTTAACTTTGATGTGTTAGGAGTCCTTGATTAATGGACCCAGATAAAAAGAAATTCAGAGAAACAAAATTCAGGAAAGTGGACCAGCTTATATGCAACGTATGACCTTGGTTATCTTAGATGGGTAGGGAAGGATTTCATGCCCTCGACATATTGGAGCAGCCAGGCTGGCCCCCATGGGTCTGTCATCTGTCTCTGATGCTAACATTAAGGGATGTGTTCAGGGCGAGTAGAACAGTCAGTCTCAAAAGGTCATTACATTTCCCAGAATAGTCCTACACATCCTTAAAATAACGAGGTAGGTTGTAAATGTCCTGGAACTTTATGTAGACTCTCACTATCTGAAACACTATATATCATCTTGTATAATTCGGTATGGGCTGTAATACTAAGGAGACACTGAAGTATTTATTCATTTGGTAAATATTTATCAACTGCCCGGGTTGTGCACTGAAGCACTACCCAGAAGCCATTGCACGGGATGCTTTTGTCCCAACTGTGCTGCTCATCATATGGATCCCTGCATGAGGTCCCTGGGGCTGCCATTCAAAGTACCATAGACTGGGTGGCTTGGAACAACTGAAACTTGTCCTCTCACGGTTCTGGAGACCAGAAGGTGTCGGCGGGCTGTGCTCCCTCTAGGGAAGGATCCTTTCTGCCTCCTCCGGTTTCTGGTGGCCCCAGCCATCTTGGCTTCCTTGGCGTGTTGCTGCATCCCACCCTTTCTGCCTCCATCATCACGTGGCCTTCTTCCCCGTGTGTCCCATTCTGTCTGTTACAAGAACACAGTCCTTGGATTTCGGGCCCACCCTACTCCAGTATGACCTCTTCTTGATCCTTACTTTGATTACCTCTGCGAAGACACTCTTTCCAGAGAAGGTCACATTCAGAGCTTCTGAGTGGCCATGAGTTGTGGGGGTCACTGTTCAACCCACTACAACTCCCCAGAGTGACTTGTCCCTTGTGCCCAAACTCCTGTCTTCAGTTTCAAGGGCTGTACCTGGCTCCTGAGGTTCCAGGATTTGGCGATTTTATTTGTGACTTTATAACCTTCAGGAGCACTGCTGTCATTTCAGACCAGATGATAATTCCATTTGTCTTTAAATGCCGGCAGCTTCATCCTCCTAACAGTTTGGGTCATCCCTTGTGGCCCCTCGTTCTGTCATGTTGGGGAGATGTGGACACAAGGACTCCGCACTAGATCCAGGGCCCCTGGACCTCAAGGTTTTGATCCAGACAGTAACATTTTTCTACCCATCTTCCAAACCCACATCACTTCAGCAAACGCAAATTATACGAACCAAGGACCAGCAACTATGGTCTACAGGCCAAACCTGGCCTGTCACCTTTTTTTTTTCTAAATGAAGTCTTATTAGAGCACAACCAGGATCATTCTGTGTGTGTGTGTGTGTGTGTGAGCAATGGCCACTCTTGTGCCAGGACAGCAAAGTCTAGTAGTTGTAATAGGACCAGATGTACCCAAAAGTCTCTGGTCCTTGGCAGAAAAGCTTTGGCGACCCTTGGCCTAAACACCGTGCACTAAACACTGTGACAAACAGCACATGGCAAACAGTGTGTTAATCTAGGAAACACATTCGTGTGAAAACCTGGCACGATCTTGAATAACTTGCATTCTGGAAGTTGCGTGCTGGCCACAGTGAGCCGAGCATGGGCTCACTGTCGAGCCTCACGCTCTCACGGGCTCCCCTGGTTTTAATAAGACTTAGATTTTGGAGCACTATTATTTCTGCCTGTGAACAAGGAACTGGCCTCTGAGTCAGCTTTCCCACTCTGTGACCAGTGGATTCTCTCCACAAAGAGCCCTAGTCCAGCGATTTCCTCCCACTACCACTGAAGTGACCCACTTCCTGGCTTCAGATTGGAACAAAGTGGTGTGCGGGGTGCAGATGACTGGTTCCAACGTTGGGGAAAATTGTAAATAAGACCTCGATTAAGCAACTTCCTACAGAATAATTCCGAAAGTCAGGGAATTATCGGGAAGGCAGAGAGTTGGAGACCCAGAAAATAAATACACATTGGAAATTCTCCATCTCCTTCTTCCCTAAAAGAGAAGAAAGTGGGGGATGCCAGTCACCGCGTGCCTCTGAGGACATCTAGTGGTAAGGACTGAGTCAGGGAACTGGGAACCTGCCACAGGCGCAGGCAACACATCCACGGATCCGTCCCGTGGCTCTCAGGGTACCAAGGGCTTTGGGAGGGGAATGGGAGTCCTAGAATATTCCTCGTCGGTGAAGATGGGGTTAAGCCAACACTCAGAGATAAACACCCACACACTGCTCTCTGCTTTCTTCCTTCGTTGTTAGAGGTGGGAGTTCCTGGGCTGCGGAAGCATGTGTAACGTTCTGGCAGTCCGTCCTGGGCACTGCGGGGCGTGGTGTGTGCCGTGCTGCTCAGGGCTCCCCGTGAAGCAGAAGTGGGGAGACTCCACTTAACAGCTGGGGGGACGTGCACAGGACGGGGGTGCACCTGCCCACAGAGCCACCCCCTCTCTGCAGTTCGCATAGTTAACAGCTTCTCAAATGCCAAGAGCAGTCGGTTCTTAAAGAGTGAAGACCGTTTGCCCTTGAGCATTTTCATGGAATGATTTTTTTGTATCAGCTGCCACGTTGTCCTGGTATGAAGTGAGTCTTTTGGGGGCGCCTGCGTGTCTCAGTCGGTTATGCTTCTGCCTTCCGCTCAGGTCATGATCTCAGGGTCCTCGGATGGAGCCCTGCGTCAGGCTCCCTGCTCGGCGAGGAGTCTGCTTCTCCCTCTCCCTCTGCCACTCCCCCTGCTTTTGCTCTCTCTCTCAAATAAATAAATCTTTAAAAAAAATGAGTCTTTCTGTATAGAATTTTTAAACTACCTATTTGAAAGATATATGCATCTGGCTGCAAAGAAATACACTTTTATGCTTTCTCATCGGCAAGGATCTCTAGGAACAGAAGGCAGCACTTCTATCCAGCCCAAGATAAAATGCTTCTTTACTTCCACTGTGTATCGCCTTTTTCCGCCCTTGGACAGTGTCTGGAGATATTTTTGGTTGTCATGACAGCGGGGCAGGGCGGGGAGAGCGGCGCTCTGGGCATCTGATGAGCAGAGGTCAGGGATGCCGGGGTCCACGTGAAGAACGATCCGGCCCTGGTGGTCCCCAGTGCTGAGGGAGAGAAACCCTGCTCTAGGAGAACGCCCTTGTTGTTTGGGGTACAGTAGCTCCCCAGATGGCAAGCATCCATCAAGAGCTTGTGATTTGCTGGATAAATGAGTAAACAGTTGTCTGAGCCCTGGGAAGTCGTTCAGCCGGATCAGCCTGGCCAGGGGAGAAGCAGTTAGTCGTCCCAGCCGGCCATTGAGAAGTGCCTGCAGAGCTGAGTTTTGGTTTTATATTGGGAAAAACATTTCCTGCCCCACCCCCTCTCTTTCTAGGAGCAGCTGGGCCCCCGTTTCCCTGTCCTCCTTACACATTTGAATTTTGAAGACCGTAGGTAATAACCACTCGCCGATCTTGTGCGTGTCTGATGTTGCCTCTTGGGGTTTCGTGATGGCAACCCTGCTCCACTCAATCTCTCTCCACCTTTCTTTAGAACTGAGCATGCAGAATTCAGAGGGTGGATCCGATTCGCCAGCTTCTGTGACTCTGTGTCCGTCAGCGGCAGCCCAGGCCCCCGCGGCCCCGCCGGTACCAGCCTCCCCGCAGGTAACAGACCAGCCCGCCTGCTGCTCGGGGAAAACCGGCGTGGCCGGTGCAGGGGCGGGGGGCACATCCTCTTAGGTTTTGAAAAACACCCGGGTCAGCAGAGAGAGCTTTCCCAAATTAACATGTCAGTCGCTATTTGTTGAAAAGGTCCCACCAAGGACTCAAGGATACAAACACGAAAAGAAACCAACTTAGTCTCTTCCTCTCGTTTAATGGAAGTTTTCTCATACCTGGGAATTAACCCTGTTACCCAGGAAGACTTTATGGATAAGGCAAAAGATCGGTTAGAATTCTAGCATTAGAATGGATATATTCTTTAAGATTTGCAGAGAGAGGGGTGCCTGGGTGGCTCAGTCAGTTAAGCGGCTGCTTTCGGCTCAGGTCATGATCCCAGGGTCCTGGGATGGAGCCCCGCATCGGGCTCCCTGCTCAGCGGGGAGCCTGCTTCTCCCTCTCCCTCTGCCTGCCTGCCCCTCGCCCTGCTTGTGCTCTCTCTCTCACTGTCTCTGTGTCAAATAAATAAATAAAAAGTCTTTTAAAAAAAAATCTCTAAAATTTGCAGAGAGACTTTCCACATGAAGGCTCCTGACTTCCAGGTTTCTGCCATGGATGGAAATACATCACAGACACAAACATAAAGTTAGTGACATAAGATCACACAAAGCCGAGGGCAGTGGAACAGACTGGAAGCTTGGAGGCGTGTGCAGAGGCCCACTGTGGCTGTGTGACCCCCAACGAGCCGTATTCCAGAAGTTAGAAGCATGACAGAATTGATGAAGCTGAAAACGCCCCTTCATTCAGCAAAAACAAAAAGGCAGACCTCAGAGAGGTTTATTCATTTTAGAAAGGACAATCAGACTTGTTTAGCTTCTATTTCCTGCAAATACAGCAGCCCCCGCGTGGGCCTTGCAAGCCCCTCCCAGGGTGCCAAGGGGGCATGATCAGATTCAGTGGTAGCCTAATTGATTTGTTTCCCTGCCCGCTTGAAGCTGACCCTTCAGCCCTCCATCCCCTGGCTGTCTGGTGCCAGGGGCCCACCTCCAGGGGCGCACCATGGCCACGGTGTCCCTCCCGAGTTCCAGGCCTTCCATCCCTGCTAGAGACGCATCCAGTCCGCCCAGGTGTCTCCTCTGCTCCTCGAGCAGAGACTTCCTGCTGCTTACTTGGGGCTCTCCCTTTCTGGAAAGCTGCAAGCACTCATGCTCACGGGCCACCCTGCCTTCCCTCAACAGCGGGGGCCTCGCTCCTTGCCAGAGACAGGCATTCCTGCCGCCTCACTTAGCCGGGTGTGCGCCTCCTGCTTCACCTCCCCGCCCTGCGCCCTCCGGCCCAGCTTCCCACCACAGCGGCCATGTTCTGCCACCAGCCCCAGCTTGGTGCCAGGGCCGGGGGAAGGTGGTGTGGACAGCTGTCTAGAGGGTCCTTCTTTTCACCCAGCCTCTCAGCTTGGTGCCAGGGACGGCCCACGTCACCTTGCAGAACAGACCCCAGGGAGGGAGAGCTGCTGGGGGCAGGTGAAGGTGCGTGTGCTGGTGCACGTGAACGAGTGTGTGTGTGTGTGCGTGCGCGCACACTGTCCTGTCCTGCTTATGTGTCTGTAAGGTGACAGTGGAGAAGATAGCAGTGCTCTGGTTGTAATCTGTGTTTGTTTTAAGGGCTAAGCCCTGACTAAAGTCTAAACGTCCTTCTCTCCTTCCCTTTTAGAGGGTGTTGGTCCAGGCAGCGGGCTCGGCTCCCAAAGGGGCCCAGATGCAGCCAATCTCTCTCCCCAGGGTCCAGCAGGTGCCACAGCAGGTAACCACAGCACAGGGGACATGGGACACGTTAGCCCTTAGCGATCTGGAGCCCTCTCTGAACGAGGCATCCTTTCCTCTTGTTGCCGTTCCTTTGTCTTTAATATCTTCAGTTCTTGACCAGAAGGTTCTTTCGGAAGCTATGTTTAAAAAAAAAAAAAGAATCTTTTACTGCAGAGAGTTTGCAACAGGCCAAGAACGCTGACGATCTTTCATTCATCCAGAAATTCAGCATTCAGGGTGCAAGCCAGCACCTCGGTAGAGCACTGGGGTACCAAGGTGGACACGCGGACAGAGAAGCCCAGTGTCTGGGTTGAAGGAATGTGGAACTTGCTGGGGAAGCAAGTGCCGTACCCTCAGACCAATGCCATGACCCAGGAAGTGCTTCTTGTGAAATCCAGTGATCCCGGAACAGAGCTTCAGAGCGAGCGCTCCCCAGGCACACAGCTGCACAGATCAGCAGCTCGACAGAGTCCGGGTGACCTAGAGCAGCGGGGGGCAGACCTTTTCTGGAAGAGGCCAAACAGCACATGTTTCGGCTTGGCGGGCTAGCGGCCCCCGACACCACTGCTGAACTCTGCCTCTGTCTTGAGAAAGCAGCTGTGGATGCAAGCGGCGGGGCGTGGCTGTGTGCCCGGAAAACTTTATTTGCAGAAAGAGGCAGGCCAGATTTGGCCCGAGGGCTGGAGTTTGCGGACTTGAGCTCTGTAACACGCTGAATTAAAATCAGTGCAGGCTCTCGGAACCGGGACAGACGGCACACCCCTCTGCCCAGGGGCTTCCGGCTTAGATTGCTGGTGTGTTTAGAGGCGCTTGTCTGGAGGCAACTGGGGCAGGTTTCGGGGCCATGGGAGAGAAGCAAAGGCTTCTGGCAGGCCCAGCAGGGAACCAGCGGTTCTGTCTCAGCTCCTTGAGGGAGACACGAGCAGTGTCATGATTCCAGAAGCTTCCTCTCTGTGGGGCCGGGCCTGCCCCAGCCTTTCTCTCTGGGCAGCTTGGACTTGCAGAGTGACTTCTGCATCTCCCCCAGCCCCCTAAGGCACAGCCCACCCCTAGCATGTTAGTCCCCGGAACCTTCTCGGGCATGCTCGCTATTCCAGGGGCTTGTGTGTGTGCATCATGCACTGCGTTGGGTTGTCCTAGGAGGTGGGAATCAGCCCCATCCTGCCGCTCCACGAAAAGGCTTAGAGAGAGGCCATGATGAAACCCAGCCCCTGATTCTCTCACCCCAAAAGGAGGTTGGATGAGGCGTCCGTTAAGTTTCCCTCTGTGGTGAGGGTGTAAGGTTCTGCGCGCGGAGCTCGGGCTTCCACCACCCGGGCCAGCGCCCCTGTCTGCTGAGATGCTGAACTGACGTGGCCACAGGTGAAGGCAGGGGCGCGGCAGGCCGAGGCTGGGGGCTTCCCAGTGCCCCTCTCCAGCTCCCACTCCATTCTGCTCAGACTGAAGGTCTCCCTGGTGTGCCTCCCAGGACCCCTGCCCCTCTGGGGAGGGGTGCTAGGGCCACCCAAAGGGGATGTCAGGGAGGCCATGTAGAGTATGACCAGCTCAAGCCCTCTGCCCTGCGGGGGGTGAGGGGTGTCCGACCCCCCCAAGGTCATGTTCTGTCCACAGCTCTGGCTTCTCCTGTCCAGCGGGACCCACCCCTCTGCCCAGTGGCTGGCGGGTGGCAGGGACCGACCGACCCAGCTCTGCTCTGCAGCTTTGCTCCAAGCTGCGAGCTGGGTTCCCCCCGACCCGCCACAGAATGGGGGCCGCCCACCTCACTCCCCTCGGGCTCCGCGGCGGAAACGAGCCGCCGCGCCCAGAAAATGCAGCAGAGCTGTGGATCGGCAGCAGCTCCATTCCCGTGGGGCCTTTTGGTGACCATTTCTCCGGGTTTCTTGGTTGAAGCGCCGGCTGGGGAGGGAAATCTGACACGTAGGAGTCACTGTTCGCAAAAGGCACGAGAAGACGCGCCCAGCCGGCCCCTCCAGGAGCCCGCCTTGCCTCACGCCCGGTACCTGCTGTCGTTCCAGGTGCAGCACGTGTACCCCCCGCAGGTGCAGTACGTGGAAGGCGGAGACGCCGTCTACACGAATGGAGCCTTGTACGTGGGTTGCCTCTCCGCTCGGAAGGGCCCTCCTCGCAGACAAGCGTGGGCCGCGTCCGGAACCTTCTCTCACGACTCCCCCCACCCCTTCCCATTTGGGGCTGTGTGTGTGGAAACTTCTCCTCCTCCTCCTCTGGGTGATGTTGGAACTGTTACAACAGTTCTAGGACATCAGAGCCCTGTGGAGATTTCAGAAATCACAGGCCTTTGTAGTTCTCACTGCCGGAAAAGGCAGCCTTTCCAACAAAGCAGAACGCGAAACAAAACCCCAGTCCAGCTTTTAAGTCAGAAGATTCAGTCTTCACAATCCAGGCACCATTTCTGTCTCTACCTTCTCGTCCTTGCCTGTGTCCACCTCTGGCTGTTTATGATGTTGCTAAAACTTGATTTTCCATTTGTCAAGGACTTCTAGAGCATTCTGCCTTCGAACTATGTGGTGTTCGGGGCAGAAAATGATACATTTCCCATGAAGCTCATTGCGCTCAAGACGCGAGCCCTTTGGCTCATTTGATTTCCACGACCTCCTTCCACAAGTTCAGGGATGGGGCGTGAGGGTTGGCCACGGTGATGGCCGGAGCTGTGTGAGTCTCTGCAGCACAGCCCCGAGGCGGTGCCAGACATACGCAGGTGCACGTCAGTGCCTGGACAGCCCAGGAAATCTGAGCAAGGTCTGTAGGTCGCCCCAGCATCAACGTCCTGAGCTTCATCTTGTGCCATAGTTAAATCGGCTGTCACCCCGGGAGGCGGGACAGGGGTGCAGGCCTCCTGGAGGCCAGTTGGAGGGGCCTCGATGCCACCCACAGGGAAGCTCTCGAGACACACCACTAAGCTTCAGGCACCGCCTTTTACTGGGGCCAGCTCTACACGAGCGAGCAGAACCTAAAAATTTGAGTCGCAAACCACAGGGTGAATCATTTAATCCAAACGGTGAAGGAGTATCAGACGAATTCTTGGTATCGCTTAGAAATTCTTTTTATTAGGCAATTTCATTTTGCAAACACTTTCTGTTTTGAAAGAATCACGGACTCTCAGGCAGTTGCAGACTTAGGACCAAGTCCCGTGTGCCCTTTGCCCCGCTTCCCCCAGTGGTGACATCTTCTGTGACCATAGCACAATACCAGGAGATTGGCATTGCGATGGACTGTCAGCTAGCCCGCGGGCCTAATTCACACTTAGCAGCCTACATGCCATCGCGTGCATGCATGCGTGCATGTGTGGTCTAGGCCATTTTACCCCGTGTGCAGATGGCACCCAACCGCAGTAAGATACAGAATCGTTCCGTCTCCTCAGAGGAGCTCCCCCATGCAACGCCTTTACACACTTAGAATTTTTCAGCGATAGTTTCAATGAGTCATCCTGTGATCCTTAATATTTCCAGAAATGATCACTTTGAACTTTGCACTGCCCTGACATTTCATGTCTGAATGACCCCGTGTGCTTGTTGTCGAGGGGCTCCAGCTTTAACGTGAAGTCTTGCTGGATTCCCGTGGAGACTCAGACGAGGCCCTTCTCTCTTCCTGACAGACGGACTGCCTATGCCTACAACCCCGAGCCTCAGATGTACGCCCCCAGCAGCGCAGCTTCTTACTTCGAGGCCCCGGGCGGCGCCCAGGTGACCGTGGCAGGCTCCTCCCCGCCAACGGTCCCCTCGCACAGCATGGTGGGCATCACCATGGATGTCGGGGGGAGCCCTATTGTCTCCAGCGCGGGAGCCTATCTCATCCACGGGGGGATGGACAGCACCAGACACTCCCTGGCCCACACCTCCCGCTCATCGCCAGCCACGGTATGTACGAGGCTCTCGGGGGCAGCAGGGTAGACCCTGAATAGACCCTCCTCAGCAGCAGGGATGCTGAGTGGAAGGCAGCCTGGGGTGCTGGAGCCGGAGCCCTGCCACCTGGAAGGGCGTGTGATCCGAGGCAAGTGTCCACCCCTGGGAACCAGATACTCTGTGGTAGACAGAGAGGGCAGAAGGCCCCTCCTGGGCTGCTGTGGAAATGGCGTCTGAGCCCAGCATCACCGTGCTGGGGGGGTACCCCCACCGTTGGCATCGCTCTCCCGGAGGCCCCGGGCCCATCCGTCCGTGTGACCGCTGGAGCGAACTAGGCACGGGGCAGTCCCGCTTGGGAACTGCACCCACTCATTGCCGCCATGCCCCTGCCCCAGACAATTCCCGACCTGCTTTAAAACTGTGTCTGCTCTTAAAGTCTATTTTACGTGCTTACTTTTATTTCATTTGGAAAATTAACACAGAGTAAAACTGACCCATTTTGGCATGCAGCCCTGAGGTTTGACGCAACGACCTCATGTCACTGCAGCCACGGTGAGGGTGCAGAGCGGCTCCTCACCCTAAAATCTCCCTCCTCCCGTGACCCACAACCCCTGGCAATGCTGATCGGTTGTCTGTCACTCTAGTTTTGTCTTTTCGGGAGTGTCGTATACACAAAACATACAGTCGGTGACCATCTGAGGCCACCTCTTTCACTCGCGGTGGTGCCTTTGAGACCCATTAACGTTGTCACGTGAATCAGTGCTTGCTTCTTCTTTGCTCCTGGGTAGGGTTCCGCCATACCACAGCTCCTCCATCCAGTCACCATTTGAGGGCCATTCAGGCAGCTTCCAGTTTTTGGTGATTATGAATAAAGTCTCTATAAGTACTCATGTACAGGTTTTTGTATGGACATATGTTTTCCTTTCTTTTGGATCAATACGTACAAGCAGGATTGCTGGCTCACACGGTAAGTGTATGTTTAACGTTATGGAACACCACCAACAGTTTTCCCAAGTGGTTGTACGGTTTTGCGTCTCCCCCCGTCCCCCAGTGATGTATGAGTCCCTGTGTCCCACCTCGTCACCAGCACTTGGTGTTGTCAACCATTCTTCATTTTCGACGTTCTGATGGGTGTGTAGTGGTATCTCGCTGTGGTTGTGATTGGTGTTTTCTTGATTGCTAATGATGTGCTTGTTTGCCTTTCATTATATGCTCTTTGGTGACCTCTTGGTTCAAGTAATTTGCTTAATTTTTTAACTGGATTGTTTGTTTGCTTACTGTTGAGTTTTGAGAGTTCTTTATATATCCTGGATACAAGTCCCCTGTCAGATATGTGACTTGCAAATATGTTCACCCAGTCTTTAGAGTGTCTTTCCATCCAAAATTGTGTAGAGTGTTTCCTCTCACTTCACCATTGTGTTGGCGATTTATATAATTTTAGAATTTTCTATATAAATTTTAGGTCGTTCTATCTATGTCTACAAAAAATTCATAGTAAGATTT